ACAGACCGTGCTGTAACCAAAAAGAGGTGCCTCTGTAGGTGTTCACCAGCCTGATCCATATGGCAGGGAGAAGTGTGTAAGAAGGTACCGTTTATCAGATCAGGTCCTCTAAATCTTAGCTAGCGCATTCAGCATCCCTCATAAACAGTGAATTACACTTACAGATGTTTGACTATGAAATTATCAACTACCGAAGGTACTTTGCTAGGAAACACAATCTGTGCAGCACCGAATCTACGAGAAACGCTGTATCTGCATTTTTGGCTCTAGAAAGGATTTCATTGATAGTTTGTTGATATTTTAAAGTAAAGTCTTACTAGGAACAAATCAATCACACCGGTACAGAGCAAATAATCATTGAACATCCGTTCTTAGCTAGTAGCATTTAGTGCATGCTGCTTTCCTTGGCTTAACTCTTCCAGAAATGATTACTCTAGGACCCATAAAACCCCGTGGAGCTCAGACAAGAAGCTGCTGCTGGTGCCCATATTATTACATATGAGCAGCCTAGAAATCCCTCATATGATAGATGAATTGTAACTGCAAAATGCCATCACTGGGGCCCGCGTTGTTATTACTTTTCATTTCTGTTTGCACTCGAGGGTAGCTAGACTCTAAAGAGTAAAAGGCCTGCTGGCGGAGGCACTGCGCAGCCTGTTGCCTTCACGTTTCCGATTTGTAAAATGTATATTGAACGATAATATACTCAACAAGTAACAAAGACATTTGAGTTGATGCAGCCTGTTTAGTGGGGGGAGGGCAGTTTGGTGGCAAGGTGCTGTAGGCTGGTGAATTCTGGTTTGTTTGAAAAACAACTTGAAATTATTTTGACATAATTGAATCCGTAAACATTAAGGAAACAACAGAAGCTGAAATGACTTATTGGTTAATGCTGTTATAATGTGAATCATAGCTTGGCCTGGAGCCTGTTAAGTAGGGTTGGATCCAGGTGAGCCAATAAGAAGAGAAGGAATGGATGGCATGATGGGTAAGATCCTGGGCTTTGTAGACACAGATCCGTGGGACCCGTGGGACCTTGGGGCAAGTCACTTAACCTCCCTGGCTTTCCCACGTTCCCCACCTGTGAAATGCAGCCACTGGTATAATCCTTTATGGTCATTGTGAAGGTCCCACGCCATAATGTGCTTACATACTGTGCCTGGCATACATTAAGTGGCACATTACTATTATTATTTCCTTTATTAGTAGTCGTTATTTTTTGTTATTGCTGTTAGTCAAAAGTACCTTTTGAAATGAGATTTGCACATATTAAAGAATGGCAGGAGGACAGAACTAACTCTCAAGATCTCAAATGATGTGGGTGTGTTGGTGCTCTTAGTTAAAGTTGCTAGAAATAAGTCAGCCACTGCCTGGAGCAAGAATTTTATTTTAACCCAGGGATTCTCACTGTACGTTTGTGATAGGTGATTGACAGCTGGGTGCAACGCAAAGATCACTGGATTTAGAAACAAGAGCGGCTTCTATTTCTGCCACGTACTGGCCCCACCCCTACTTGCATGCCATCTAACCTCTCTGGGCCTAGATTCCCTGATCTGTAAAGTGGGACTCAAAATTCTGACCTAATTTCCTATGATCAAAATAAGACAATGAGGCTCAAGTGCTTTGAGAAGCAGTCACTTGCTAAACAGCAAAATAAGGTTGCCGTACCAGGTCTAACCCACTTGTGATGTGATTGCTCCTGCAAGCGCATGCAGGCAAGAAGAAAGTGCTGGAAGCCCAGGCAAGTGGGCTACAGTCTATTGTGAGAACAGGAGAACAAAGAAAGAGAAGTCGAAGTTGGTGGAGAAATGGTGAGAGGCGCTTTGAAAGGAAGTCAACTGGTTTGAATTTGAACACCGTTTTGAGAAAGGGGGGTCAAAACAAAATGCATTAGGCAAAAGTATTTCTAGTGTCTGTGAGACTGGGGCGCTGCTAGTGGGGAAAGGTCAGCTGTGTTGTGTTGTACTTGGGTATCCAAGGTTGTCCCAGTGTGAGATGAAGTGGGTTTGTACGCATTTGGCTGCTGGAGTAGAGGGAAAAAGAGGGGGGACCAGTGTGGTGGGAAAGTTGGGGAGCAAGCAGACGAACATTTCCACGTTAACATATGCAAACAAGGTGTCCAGTTTCAAGATTCCTGCACTGGGGGTGGAGGGTGGTGGAGGGCTGAGTAATTAGCCCCTGCCTTCAGAGTTCTACTATGGCACACATGGGGTCACCATGAACCAGAATCGAACTGACAGCAGCTGTTGTTTTTGTTGGTTTGTTGTAGTTTTTGGTTTTTCTTTTGTTTTCTTCTTCTACACGAAGAGACTGTAAAGCCGCCACACAACGAGAAACTGATGGAATCACGCGGGAAGCCAGAAGCCTGCTCTTCCTGCTCCTGGTCTGCTGCTCCTCCTTTGGCATAGCTCCGCTTCAGTGCGGGTGAGAAAATGACCTTGCTTTTGACTTTGCTTAGTTTGAAAAGCACTGAGCGAGTCAGAGAAAATTGGAGACACAGAGAAAAGGTACTTGCCCCCAAAGAAGGAGGCAGATGGGGAGTGAAGCCCCAGACTAACTTCCGGTGCGGGCTCCAAGGCTCCAAGACAAACACGGACATGAGGGTGTGATAACAAAGAAGTCCGGAAGTACCCTCTGTTGTGCCATGTAATGTGGTCTATAAAAATTTAAGAATTAGCCATAAAATCTGGGACATCAACCTCAGAAGGCTTATTTCTATTCTAAGCATGGGGAATGAAACATTTAATTCTTCAATAAAGGAAAGCTCACTCATTAGTGGTGTTGTTGCAAAAAGAATTCTATACAATCCATAGTCAATCAGAAGAAAAGAGAGAGGGAAAAAAAAAAAAAAAAACCACGTTCCCCTAGATTCTCTTTCAAGAACAACAGAAGGACTTTTGTTACTTTCTCAAAGGGTACTATCTTTTACAAGCTTACTGAGGCAAACGGCTCCTTTTCTTTTGTTGTTTAAGTGGCATTCTGTTGTTTTTCTAGTGGCTTCTCAAGCAGACTGGAGTCGCTGGCCTCCGACAGGTGTTTGCCCTGTTCCCCTCGCTTAGTCACCGTGCGAGCCACCTAGGCACGGGCGCTGGGCTGCTCTGAAGGAAGGAATTCCAACTGGGACAAATTAGGTGGCAATTTTGAGATGAGTGAGTCCAGCATTCCTTTGGGATTTCAGAAAAGACCACTGAAGCCATTTATGCTTGAGACCCAGGGGAGAATAGAGGAAAACAAGGGTACAGTCTAGACCAGAATAAGACATCTTTTTGAATGTTACTTCCCCAATGGGAAGGAGCAAGTGGCTAGGTCCCCAGGGTGCATCACATTTGTGGATTTCACAACAGCCACCCCCCTCCAACCCTGCCCTTGGGCCCCAGGGAGAGATGACCCAGGCCTGGTGGGCTCTTATCCTATACAAACAGCCACACAGTCTCACCTCTGATCAGCGTGATATGACTATCTGTTGAACAGTCAACAATACTGTTCTTGGGCTGAAACAGGTGCATGAATATCCATAGAAGGGGAAATCAGGTGACAAGCCAACTAGATGTGCAACAGCTTTCTGCTCTTTCTTACTCCTTGGGCTGCATTTTCACAGGGCTTGCTTCTGAATATTGGGCTGCTAAGAAGGCACTTAAGGAGTGCTGGTGGCGCAGTGGTTATATACTGGGCTGCTAACTGAAAGGTCAGCGGTTCGAATCCACGAGCCACATGTGAGAAAGATGTGGCAGTCTGCTTCTGTACAGATTTACAGGCTTGAAAACCCTATGGGGCGGTTCTACTGTGTACTATAGGGTTGCTATGAGGCGGAATCAACTCGATGGCAATTTTTTCTTCTTAAGAAGGCACTTGGGAGTCCCTGGGTTGCACAAATGGTTAAGCACTCAGCTGCAAATCGAAGGTTGGTGGTTGGAATCCCCACAGAGGCGTCTTGGAAGAAAGACCTGGCGATCTACTTCCTAAAGGTCGCAGCCATTGAAAACCCTATGGTTCACACTGACACACATGGGGTCACCGTAAGTTGTAATCAGCTTGTTGGCAACAGGTTTAAGAAGGCACTTAGCAGGCGCAGGCCCAGGCCCAGGCCCAGGAGGGAGTAGAGGTGACTGTGGGAAGTGTCACCTGGATACTTCCTGACACCTGGATGGTATTTTGTCCACACTGAAAGTTTACATGGTTTTCTCAGGGCTGCACTGATGATCATTTATCATAATAATGAGCATTTATGCACGGCCTAGTAGCTTATAAGGGACTTAGGGCTGGTATTGTTCTCCGTTAGAGATGAAGAAGGGAGATTCAGAAAGATGAAGTCACAGAGGTGACAAATGGTAGAGCCATGACTGAAAAACTCACATCTCTTGACTCCTATTCTTAATAACTCATATTGCCTTATGATGCCAGTAGCCAGAGAGAGTGGATACTTCTTTTGCGGGGTGGGGACTCTGCTTTTGTTTTTCATTGTGGTTTAATTGTTTACTTTGGCATAGGTTCTAGCAGCCTTTTTCAACTTTGTTTCAGCCTCCATGCCACTCCACTCCCGTGCATAAATTCATTCTCATTAGTACCATTTCCCACAACATCCCCTAATTATAGGCCATGGTCTCCATAGCCACGTTCCATCAATAATGCAGAAAGAGTCAGTGAGCTTGAGTTGAGATGCCAGAAACCAGAAAAACCAAGATTTAAGGTAACTCACAATGCTTGAATGAGGACTCACTTTCCTAAAGGAAGTGATGAGTTCTCTGTCCAAGACTCAAAAGTAAGACCCGAGGGAATGGGAAAGAAGCTTAGTAAGCTCAGCAGAAGACCAGCTTGGTTAGAGGATGGGGAAAGGACAGGTGAGAAATGACACAGGTGACAGAAGCAGAAGGATCTTGAGGTAGGATGCTAGGATTCCCCAGCACGATCCTCCTTGAAGCAGAACAGTAATTACTTGAAACAGCTTAAGCAGATACATTGCTTCATTATTAAAAGGCACAGAAATAAAGGTTTAAACTCACCCGCAAGATTTCCTCAACACAGCTCGGATCACTGGGAAGGCTTACCTAAAAACAAAACAATTAAACATAATCTAGTTATTCTCAGAGAAGCTGACTGTATAATGGTTTACTCTGTAGGAAAAAAAATTGCAAATAAAGACCATCTAGCTATCAATTCTTTTCCTATTAAATGCAAAGCAATAATTATAGCAAACGGCCAATTTTGTTTCACTTGAATGAAGCAGTAAGACCACAGGGCAAGGTGAAGAAAGAAAGGGACTCGCTTGTCCCTGATTTGCTCTGAGACATGAGCCATCCGTCCTCCCTACCCCCAGGCTTTACTTTGCTCATCTATCCAAAGAGGGAGCTTGACTCTGTGATCGCTAAGGTCCTTCTGACCTTCTGGAATATTAGTATATTATTCCTAAACTTAGAGTTTTAGAAGATGAGGCCTATATGTATACACCCAAAAGACTTGAAAGCAGGAGCACGAACAGATGCGTGGCCACCAATATTTGGTGCAGCATTATTCACAACAGCCAAAAGGTGAAAACAATCCAAGTGTCCATGAATGGATAAACAGAATGTGGTGTATACATGCAATAGAATATTCTTCAGCCATAAAGAGAAATGGAGTTCTGATACATGCTACAACATGCATGAACCTTGAAAACATTATGCTGAGTGAAATAAACCAGTCATGAAGTCCCACATACTGTATGAGTCCAGTTATATGAAATATCCAGAACAGGCAAATGCAGAGAGACAAATGTTTATTAGTGGTTACCAGGGCCTGAGGGAGTGGGGAGTTGGGGCACTGAGTTTCTGTTCGGGGTGATGAAAAACTTTTAGAAATAATGATGATGGCAGCACAACATGGTAAATGTAACTAACGTCACTGAATTGTACACTTAAAAATGGTTCAACTGGCGAATTTTTGTTACGTGCATTTTAGCACAATAAAATTTTTTAAAAAAAAGATGAGCCCTACACAAAACATTTCTATGATTAAATTGAGTTTTCTTTTAGCTTGGATGTCTAACCAAAAGCCTACACTTCTGATCCAAAACACTAAGGCTAAACTCCTGTGCAAATTGTATGCTTGCCATTCACAAAGTGAATCCCATGAGCCATCTCTCCCAATCAATCAAAAGGCAATCAACTAGTAGAAATGTGCTGAGGACCTGCTCCGTGTCAGGCACATGGCCCTTTTTCTCCATAGTGAGTGGAAGGAGGAAGCCAAATGCCGAAATAAGACACCTAGCTCCAAGGCAGTGCGTGGTGAGGGACTTGGCAGTGGGACAACCAGCTGGAGAAAGGTCTGCCAGCCACGATGTCACCTGTGGAGGTTATAGGCATTCCCTCAAACACTCTTGACTCTCCCCGTCCTACCTTCACCTCCCCAGGATTGCAGTCTGATCACTTCATGTCCTTCCAGGTCTGGTAAGTAGAGGAGTTAATTAACTGCCTAGGGAGGTGAAAGGTCAGCCCTGGAAGGGAGCAGTGTCACAGACTGTCTGTATCCCACACCTCTTGCAAGGACAATTAAGTCATGTCCCCTAGTTGTTCTGAGAAAGATTGAAGTATGAACTCAACCACATTTGGGGAAATGGAGAATAGACTGTGGCATCAATTTTCCTCAACTTCAAAAAACACAGACTAGAATCGCCAGCATATCCTAAATTAGCATTAAAGTCACCATTGTACATCCGTTCATTCCATTAGGAATACAGAATACCTTCTATATGTAAGAGAAGTTACTGCTCCAAGGAGCATCAAATCCCAAGTGGGGGAGTCAGGCTGAGACCAGGTCACCAGTATTGAGGGTGTCAACCATCCTGGGTTAACCAGGCCAGTCCCAGTTTACACTTGATATCCCGATGTGTCTCCTTCCACCCTCAACAGTGTCCCAGTTTGGATGATAAATTATACAATCATCCTTTCAATATCTATAATACTCTAATACTGGGTGGAAGAAACAGTAGTATGAAAAAGTCATCTGGGTACACAGTATAAAGGACCTTAAATACAGATTTTTAGATAGGGAACTACACGTGGTTTGGCTTAGTACAGGTCATTCATTCATTCACAAATATTGTTTGAGGGCCCAGGACTCGGCCACCAGGCATTGTGCTAGGCAGAGATACAAAACGAGACAGAGCCTTCTGTCTCATGAAGTTTGCAGGCATGAGGGGAAGGTGGATATGAAGAATCACATAATATACGACTGCAGTTGTGGTATGGACTACAAAGGAGACGGTCCCCCTAGTTCTGCAACATGGTAACAGGTTGCCAGGAGAAAAGAAAAGGTTCCGTGTCCAAATATGTTTGGGAAATTGTGTAATCCACATCCAACTCTTAAAGATCCATAATGCAAATGAAAGGCTTGGAGATACCTGCCTAATTGGTTTAATGTAGCACTTGGAAAACTTTCTTGACCATTGAATTCTTGAGTTTTATTGTTTGGATTTTTTTCCCCTCCAATTAACAACTATTGCTACTTTATGGAATGAGTGTTTGTAGAGCACACACTGGCAGGTGCTGGGCTAACATATGACAGGATTATAGACGTCAACTGATTATTCTCAACTGCAAATAAAATCTCATGCCATCGCTCAATACTCTAGCAAACATCATTATTGCATTCTATCGTGGGGGCTGCCTACAGCCCAGTCTCACGAAAAGGTCTTTGTTCCCCTTTCCCCACACAAAGGCATCAATGTGAGTCTGAAGTGAAATAGGACAAAATGTCAGCAATAAGCAGACACAGCAAGAACATTTGCCTATGAATCAAAGGAGTTGGGTGTGAGTCCTGGCCCTACCAGTTGGCAACAGAACATTGTATCCCCCTGAGCTCCAGTTTTCCCAACTGTAAAATAAGTGATAATAATAATAATAATGCCTGCCCCTTTCAAATCTCACAGGGTTTCTGAACGCATCAAATGAGCGAAGCGATGTGAATGTGCTTTGTAACCCGCAAAGCCCCACACGATGAGTCAGGTTATTACCTCTCGCGTGGTTGTTCTCCTCACTGCTATTATTATTAAGTCCAGGCTTCTCATCTTTTCAAGGCAAAATCTGACTCACTCTTGTCAACTGCAAATATCATCTCTACACCTGGAATTATAAATGTCCATTTCCTTATGGGGAGAAATGCTGTCAAAATAGGAAAAGTTGTGGACTCTGGGGCTTTGCAGCAACTCTGAAGTCGGGACACTCAGGAGCGGGACAGACTCTATAGACAACGGCAGTCGAATCAATATGCATCCATACCCAGCCTGTAGATTTTTTTTAAAAAAAGAAAATACTGGAATCCAACAGTCTCGTGGAGTCACTAGCTCCTCAAATCCATCTAGCCCTGCCCTCCAGCTGTTTTTGTCTCAATACAACTATATCTGGGCCACAAGGGCTTTTCTCCCCCTGCAAGTGCTTTTTAATTAGCCAGCAAGCATCTCCTAAGTGCCTAGAACAGTGCTAGGCGTGGGGAGGGGGCTGGTAAGACAAAGAACTCAGAGACTTGGCCTCCTCTCAGAGTGAAATGTCTGGAGGGGACGAGACACCAAACAATTAGAGGCCCACTGGGACCCACATTGTGAGGTAGTCACCACAAGGGTAATAGGATCGCCTTCATTCATCTGCCCGCCTATTCAGCAGGTCCCCCATTTACTTCTTTAGACAACAAATCCTGATTGAGCTCACACTGTGCTCAGGATGGTGCCAAGGGGGAGGGTTGAAAGACACTGAAGACAACATAGTCTCTGCCTTCGAGACGGTCCGCAAAGTGGGGAGACAACACTTACACAGGAAAGACACGGCAATGCCAAATGGGGGTCTGCTTGAGCGGCCAGGGAAAAGTACCTACCGGGTTCCCAGACAGAGCCAAGTCCGACAGAAGCTCCCAGCCGCCGAGGTCGCCACTGTATTCCTCACCCCATATGGGAGTGAGAGGCCACAGGTTTGACATGGCCGCGGAGTGGCGGGGCTGCCAGCAGCCACTTTGGTTCCCAAGCCACCTGCAGAGTACGCCGGGGTCACTGTGCGCACTGGAAGAAAGCTGACCTCAGCCTGGGGCTCGGCCCCCAATCTGGTCCAGTTGCTCTCTCTCTGGCTCCCTGGCTCTCTCTCTCCCCCACACAACTATGGCAGGAATTCTGGAGCAGTCACTCGGACAGGTGTGCCACTGAAGAGAACTAGTGGTGACACCGGGATTAGAACTGCTACCCGTGGAGTTGCCAAGCGGCTGCTTACTGCCTGAGCCACCTTCTCCTCCCTTTAAATCCACACTTGAGTATTCAGATAGTCCACAAAGCGCAAGTTAGCCACTCAGAGCGGCAGAGTCCTTTTGCGTTCCCCCTCGCCGCCCCCTCCTCCTGGAGCAGAAAGCAAGCTGCACGCCGCCCGCCAGGGAGCCCGGGCTCTCGCTCCTGGCCCCCACGACCCTCTTGAGCCGGGCACCGACGTGGTCCTCTCTGCAGGCCAGGGAGGGAGGAGGCGCACGTCGGGCAGGTGGTGAGTGGACAGCAAGCCCTCCCAAGTGCCTACCCCTCTGCATGTGACAGTGCAGGCTGCCACCCCATGTAGCCACCGAGCGACCACGCACAGATCATCTGCCTGGTGACAAATCCATATCTTAGGAAAGAATCAGGTTACCTTTAAAGCATCAAATATTCAATTAACGGCAGCAACAATAAATGAATTGCATAGGATGTTTTAATCATTCGGAAATTAATCAGTTTGGAGCACACTTCCTGGCGCTTAGGGTAATGCAAGATACCAAAAATACCCTGCTTGTGGCATTGGGAAACATAAACAGCAGCTAGCACTAACAGAAAACATGGAGATTATTGTAAAACAGCAAAAGAATAATGATCACACACGGCTAACCCGGAGGAGCTCCCTGCATGTCTCTGAGTACGGTATTATTGAGGGATTTTGAAGGGAAAGAGGTCATTTTTTTTTTTTTTTATAAAATCATCTTGAAGCTGTCCCACAATACCTGGCAATCAAAACCCACTATTCTAGACATTCCATTTTGACAAAGATCTTTCAAAGCGAAACTCAAAAAT